TTCTTGCTTCCAATTCATTACTGACTTAGTTCAGATTAACTCACTCCATCTTGAAGTGGGGATGGAGTGTAATGGCTATTTTTTAAGTGTTTGTAATACAAAAACCTGGATGAGTTATTCTGAGATATGAGTTCCAATGCCACCAAAGCAGCTTGAGAATCATAGTCAATTAAAACATAGAGTTAAGACTATTATCAGAAATCCTGATTGTGATATCACGAGGTTATTGTAAAAGCTCAATTGATTCTAAATTGCCTTTAGAATAGGAAATCTGCCATCCTTGTGTTATGGACCAGACCAGACCCCCTCAAAACATTTTAAGACCTGGGCCCTAACATTTTCTTATTTTAAAGGTAAATGTGAAGTGCATGTTCCAGATGTGATGCAACTGGTCAAACTACTCGATATTAAACAAAACACAATTTATTTAAACATTATAGTTAAAAAATACAAACAAAGAAAAAAAGAATTTAAAATAACTTAACTATTGGAAAACTTAAAAGAATAATAGATAAAGTACATTTTACCAATTAACTGTTCCAATATTGTAACATCCCATAAACACACCCCTTGGCAAAAAGGCAAATTCAGACACAGATTCTCACATGCAGTTCTCCAATCCAGGAGGAAATAACATCAAGACAGGTTTCAGAGAAAGTAGCAGCTAGGAATCATTCGCTGAAGTTCAACTCTCCTGAAACCCTGAACAGCTTCTGAGTTACTGAAAATCCCAAAAGCCGGAAATCTGGATCTGTGAGAACTGGCCACACCTATTCAGGCTATTAATAAAACCCAAGACCTCCTAAGCTGTTTACTTAAGCCGTCTTCAGTAGCCAGTTCGGAACATACCTTTATAACCTCTCTTGAAAAAAAAAACCAGAACAAAATAACTTTTTAAAGTGGCAGCATTACCACACTTGTACTATCTGGCCAACATGTGACTTCAGACTGATAGCACTGTGGTCTGTGAAATGACCCAGTGATATTGAAGCGGGTAAACAACCAGTAGTTTCTCCAGGTCATTAGAGGTGCAAAATAAGTGTGGCCCTTAGCGACGACATCCAAATGGTTGAGAAGGTGCTTAGCATGCCTGCCCTCATTGCTGAGACCTTTGAGTATAGGAGTTGGGATGTCATGTTGAGATTATACAGCATGTTGGTGAGGCATCTTCTGGAGTATTGTGTCCGGTTCTGATTGTCCTGTTATAGGAAGAATATTATCAAGCTGGAGAGAGTCAGGAAAAGATTTATCAGGATGTTGCCAGGAATCAATGGATTGAGTTATAAGGAGAAGCTGGATAAGCTGAGGCTTTTTTCACTGGAGCATAGGAGGTTGGGGTAATCTTACAGAGGTTTTTAAAAACATGAGGGGTATAGATAAGGTGATTGGCAGGTGCCTTTTCCCTAGGGTGGGGGATTTCAAGTCTACGGGGCATATTTTCAAGGCGAGAGGAGAAAGATTTAAAAAGGATAAGAGGGCCAATTATTTTAGACAGAGTGGTTCATGTGTGGAATGATCTTCCAGAAGAAATGGTGGATGTAGGTACAGTTACAATGTTTTAAAGACATTTGGATAATTTCATGAATAGGAAAGATTTGCAGGGATATTGACCAAGCCCAGGCACGTGAGACTAGTTTAGTTTGGAATTATGTTCAGCATGGACTGGTTGGATCAAATGGTCTGTTTCCATTGCAGTACGACTCTATGACTCTATATCCTGTGAATAAAAGAATACTACTTCTTGAAGTTTTTTTTTTAATTGAAGATCCTATTCCAGATGTGTACATCCAGAATGTTAAATGGATCTTTTACGAAGAGGATCAGCAAAAAAGTTAGTAACTGGAAATGCAATCAAGTACCACTGGACTCATTTCGGTGTAATCATGCCAAACTCTGCACAGAATTCCCTCAGGAATTCTCTAGAACTTGGCAATCCTTTAGGCAAACATCCTGTCAGTAATTTAACAAAGCCTGCTGCCAAGATCCTGCCCCTGGGATGAGTACATTGTTGATCCGAGTAATCTGTCCAAGGCTCAAGACTATTTCCAACTTTTTCTATTTATGTTTCAGATTCCAGCATCCACATTTTGGTCTCGTATTAGATTACAAGGTACGGTTACAAAAAAATCAATTAAGAGACGGCCCTCTGAAACAAAGCAAAATTCTGTGGAGGTTGGAAATCTGAAATAAACAGAAAATGTTGGAAATATTCAGCTGGTATCTGTGGAGTGAGAAACAGTGTTAATGTTTCAGTTCGATTACCTTTCATCTGTCCCTTCGGAGTTCAATTACTGAGTGTTATAGTGAATCAACCACTACAAAAATGTCAAAGAAGGACAATATGCTGATCATGTTGCTTAGGGTTGTTTGGCCTCTATCTGATAGTTACTCAGAGGACAGAATGACGAAATGTGAACAAATAGAGTTGGGTGCAGAACAAGAGAGCATCAATACAATTGACGACTTCAGTAGAAAAAGCTGTTAAAGAGTTGGAGGCCAGGACAGGCAAGGCAGAGCCTGGGTAGGCTGAGAACAGACTTGTTGAGCATTGCTTAAGGAAGGGGAACCATCAATGTCGGTTTGCATGGGAGTTCTGAAGGGCTGTTGTGTTGTTTAGGAGTGGAATTCAGAGAGAAGGAAGGACGTGACCCAGACAAAGATATTTTGCAAGACTCAAGAGTGGGGAGTTGATGAGGAGCTGTCAATTAGGACCATGGACTCGAACAAACTTCTTTATCTCAGGATCTGTCATAACTGGTTTGATTTTGATTTGATTCTATTTGTTTTATTGCTGTCACATGTACCGAGATACAGTGAAAAGTATTGTTTTGCGTGCTAACCAGACAAAACACACCTTACATTAGTACCTCAGGGTAATAGAACAGAACGCAGAATATTGTGTTATATCTAGACAGAAGGTGTGGAGAAAGAGCAACTCTAATACAATCAGCACGAAAAGACGTTCAAAAGTCTGATAACAGCAGGGAAGAAGCTGTTCTTAAATCTGTCGGTACATGGTTTCAAACTTTCTTCTGCTCAATGGAGGAGGGTTGAAGAGGGTGTAACTGGGCTGGGAGGGGTATTTGATTATATTGGCAGTTTTCCCAACGCAGCAGGAAGTGTAGACGGAGTCAATGGAAGGAAGGCTGGTTTTTGTGAGGGACTTGGCTGCATTCACAACTCTCTGTGGTCCTGGGCAGAGCAGTTGCCATACCATGCTGTGATCCATCCAGGTGCTTTCGATGGTGCATGTATAAAAATTTGTAAGAGTCATTGTGGACATGCCGAATTTCCTTAGCCTTCCGATGAAGTAGAGGTGTTGGTGTACTCTCTTGACTCGAGCATTGATTTGGATGGACCAGGATAGATGTTTGGTGATATTGACTCATAGGAACTCGAAGCTCTCGACCACCTCATCGCAGCACCATTGATACAGAAAGAAGGATCATGCAATCAACTTCATTGAGAAAGAAATCACAAGTAACGCTATAAATCCAGCAACTGAACATTAAGAACTCTCAAATCTTCACAGCAATAAATCAAATCGTCATGACAGTCCTTTTCAGGAACAAGGAACATACCGATTTAGTCCTGGAACAAAGATCCTCCAACTCAGCATTGAGGGACTTTTTTAGATAAAGTCAGGGGTTCTGTGCACACTCTTATTAAGCCCCCTGCTTACTGTGGCTATGGTACTTTAATGTCAGTGTCCATTGACAATGCATTCAAACCAAAATCCTTAGCACCACTGCACCCTCTCACCATTCTTCCTCTACCTTCTCCTCAGTGTCTGAATGGACAGCAGGGAGTCATTTGTTGGGTGTTAGCCTTTGAAACTCCAGTCCTTACTTTCTTCTACAAATGCTCCCAGAATACCAGAAGCCATTTAAAATAAGTCGGAATTACATTAATGCTTGAAGTCATTCACCCAGTGTACAGTAGGACTGTGTCGCTGATTAAAATACCCACCTAATTACAGCTCCAAAGGAAACAAGAGTTTCCGCATCTTTAATTAAGAAGAAGCCATAGGCTTCAGAGAACATATTGGCTTTGTAATAAAGGAAGTTTCATAACTGCAGGCTCTGGCTCCTGAGACTGGGCTATTCCCTTTGTAGTTATATCTGATGATACTGTTTTCATTAGCAATGAGCTGACTTAACCGAATGAATTCAAACTAGTTGCAGCTAAATCAGATGTGTGTCTTGTGCAATGATCATGGGGAGCCACTTTGACTTTCCCTGGGACAGGAGTCCTTAGGAATCAGGCACAAGGTACTGAAATCCCATTAAACAAAGCAGAATCACTGTTGCTCCATTAGAGCTATGCTCTCATTCAAATTTCATACACAGAGGCCTGGACTCTACGCTTGAAGTCCAATTCCTCCCTTTCTCTATCACCTTCTGTAGTCGCAAACTGGTCCAGAATCTCAGCATTCCTCCAATTTTGATCTCTCCAGCCTTGCCATTTTCACTCTGTTATTGCGACCATCCCTTCAAACAGTCAAAACTCTGGAATTTCCTCCTTAAATCTCCCCTTTCCACAACATCTCTCTCTCTCTGTCTGCCTTCATGGTACAGCTTAAAATCTTCCTTCTCCTAAAACCTCTTTCTGAAGCTGTATTTCAGATTTTGTCTGACAAGATCCCATGAAACACTTTGAGGCTTTTTTTATGCCTGTCAAGGCATTATACAAATGCAAGTTGTTGTTGTTACACAGCAAGGCAATAATCAAAATGCACTTTACTTACAGACTAGTCTGAAATGTTTATGCCGCTCTTCATGCTAATCGTAATGTTAGATTAATTAAAAGTTCTCCTTGAATTTTGATTCATATTTTCCCTGACCCAATAAAACTAACACTGAGGAAAACATATGGAGTTAATAAATGGATGATTGAGAATGTTGTGTGGTCCCTCCTGCAAACCTACCCCCGCCAACCCTGACCCCTGCCTGTCTACTGGTGCATTCCAAAGCCATGAGCTGGAACCAGATACAGCAAAGCACACAGATGCACTTTCCTGTGCAGACTTACACTCAGAGTGCTAGCTACACAACCCCTTCTCCAGTCACAATCTAGGACCATCACAAAAGATGGGGACGTTGCTCCAATACCTCGCCATGGTCTCAGCCATGGTCCTGACAGTGCAAGGTCAGCCCTCACTCATCGAATACATGGAAAGGAGACTCTCTGCTTTCGAGGTAAGTCTTTTCATGCTGAATGTGCTGCTTCTAATCTGCAAATGAGCAAACAATTCAAATAAGAAATATCATGTCGGTTCTCGGTCTCTAAGATGCTGAGTTGAGGATTGCCAATTAACATTTGGTTCTCCCAGCTGAAATTTCTCTGCCCATTTGAGTCATTTTTCACTGAGTACTTAAAACACTTTGTTTCTGCTGATACAACTCTTAATCCATTTAAGCAGACAAATGCTTGCCTTAAAAAGCATACCTTATGTGAATGTTTTAACCAGTGCACTAGGGAAATTATGTTCATTTGAGTGATTATCAATGATCCTAAGAACTCACGCTCGGTGAATTGTGGAGAATTTGAATCTTTGAAGGAGATCTTAAAGGAGCTCTCCAACTGCATCCCAAGAATCTGGAAAGTAGCAACACACAAACACATTCAAGTAAGTATATCCAGCAGCGGGGCAGGTTTAGTGCACAAGGTACACTGAGTGTCAAAATGACAAGAAGAGTAATCTCCATATTAAAATTACCCATCACAGCCGAGTTTTAAAGGACAGTACAGTGTAGGTAGGCGCATTGTGCAGCCTATTTTCTGAAGTTCTAGAGGGATTTGGCATGAGTTCACCTGAATTAGCATTGATAAACAATTATTAATGGAGCTGTGCCCCTGCGCTCAGAAAGTTTTAAGTATTCATTGTAGGCCGAGATGTAGACTTTTTAACCTTAGCTTTATGAGTTGTCTCGTGGTCGATTTGGTAAACATAATATTTTGTGTGATTTGAAATAAACGAGATGGTAATGGTTCCCAGCTGGTTCCCCAACTCGTCTGGCGTGGAGTTACAGACAGCACAGTTAGCCTTAGGTCCCCTGGGTTAGGAAGGAGAATATCAGCCAAGATTCCCATTCCTGGCAGCTGCTCAGTGAATCGTAACAGAAGTGCTCGTAGTTTCACTGAGAATGGCATCAAATTTGGCTCTGATGACCTAACGGTCTAATGGCTTGTCAATGGCTAAGCTCACACAAACATGAAGCCACTTGGAAATGTAATGGATAGCTGCTGATCTCCATGGCAACATTCCAGTTAGGGTTCCATCAGACCCAATTAGCTCCTGACCTCACTACAGCCTTAGTCTAAACGTGGGCAAAAGAGCTGAATTCCAGCGATGAGATGACAGTGACACCCCTTGACATCAAGGCAGTCCGGAGTCAATGGGAGTCTGGAGGAAACCTTTCTACTAGTTGGAATCATACCTGGTAAAAATGAAGATGGTTGTGGTTGTTGGAGGTCAGACATCTCAGCTCCAGACATCTCTGCAGGAGTTTCTCAGAGTAGTGTTCTAGGCCCAACCATCTTCAGCTGCTTCATCAACAACCTTTCCTCCATCATAAGGTCAGACGTAGGGCTTTTTGTTGATGATTGCAAAATGTTCAGCACCATTTGTGACTTCTCAGATACTGAAGCAGTCCATGTCCAAATGCAGCAATATCTGGACAACATCCAGGTTTGGGCTGACAAGTGGCAAGTAATATTCACTCCGCACAAAAGCCAGGTTATGACCATCTGCAACAGGATAGCATCTAATCATTGCCCCATGATATTCAATGGTGTCACCATCACTGAACCTCCAACGTCATTGACCAGAAACTGTCATGGATCAGCCATTACAAGTACTGTGGCTAGAAAAGCAGGTCAGAGGTGGAAATCTTGCAGTGAGTAATTCCCAAAGTCTGTCTACAATCTACAAGGCACAAGTCAGGAATGTGTTGGAATAGAACAAAGAACAAAGAACAAAGAAAATTACAGCACAGGAACAGGCCCTTCGGCCTTCCAAGCCTGTGCCGATCCAGATCCTCTATCTAAACCTGTCGCCTACTTTCCAAGGATCTGTATCCCTCTGCTCCCTGCCCATTCATGTATCTGTCTAGATACATCTTAAATGACACTATCGTGCCCGCCTCTATCACCTCCGCTGGCAACGCGTTCTAGGCACCCACCACCCTCTGCGTAAAGAACTTTTCACTTGCCTGGATGAATGCAGCTCCAACAACAATCAAGAAACTTGACACCATCCAGGACAAGGCAGCCCACTTGAACAGTATCATACTCACAAATACTCAGTCCCTCTACACCCTCCAAGCTCGGTACCAAAATACACTGCAAAATTCATGAAAGATTCTTTAATAGCACCTTCCTAACCCATGACCACTATCCTTTAGGTGGCGAAAGACAGCAAAACTTGGGAACATTACCATGTGTAAGTTCTCTTCCAAGCTGCTCACTATCCTGACTTTGAAATATATTGCCACCCCTTAAGCGTTGCTGAGTCATAATCCTGGAATAGTTTCCTCACTGTATTTTGGGTCTCCCTACAAGAAATGGACTGTAGTAGTTCAGGAAGGCAGCTCAGCACCAACTTCTGAAGGGAACTTAGGGATGGGTAATAAATGCTGACCCAGCCAGTGTTGCCTACATCCCATGAGTCAATAAAGAAAACCTCAGAAAGTATGGTTTGGAGAATTAATTCAGGGGGCTCTGATTCTAACACTGTTCAGGAAAACAATGGGTGCAATCAAAATTCCTGGGTAATTTTGCCTCTCGTTCTGCATGCATTAACACTTCGGGTCTGAAACTATTGAACTTATACAAGAGTCTATTCTGAGTTCTGATGTATAAAGCTTTTCAAGGAAATGTAACTTAAAAGTGGCTAGGTTACATAATGCATACTCTACACATCCCCTCAGATCATCATCCAAGTGGAAAATGTGCCCACTCTCCACTATTTAACTCCCTCCCCCATATTGAGAAACGCTTCCGCTGGGATATGATGTACACGTACCTTTAAGGGAACATGTCTCAACCCCTGTCAATCACCTCCACTATCACAGTAGTACATTATAGTCTGATCACTCTGAACCCATTTTATAGCTGCAGCTTGCAAAACTGAGGCGTGCACAGATAGCCTCCCAGTTAACATTGCCATTATGTAGTCTCATGTGAAACAAAGAATCCATATAGTTTTTACAATCTTTGTCATATTGTTGGTGCATTTATGTTGGATCTGTTAAACTATACACTCTAATGCAGTTCCAGTTGAGGATTCTGTCTGCCATTTTGAAGACACATACACCTCCCTCTACCCTACACATCCCCCACCATCCCCCCCAGCCCCCACTCTCTTCTCCACCACAACCACTCCAACCTGGGTCTCGCTCACATGGGTTTGCACACAGCAGAGCTGATCTATTTTCTTCCACTAACAGCCACCATTAACACTTAGTCATCATCTATTTTCACTCCTCTACCACATTAGCACTCCTTTTACCTTTTTCTCTGGGCACCCTGAGAATCTGTTTCACTTACTCCTCCTCTCCCTTTTTCAAAAGCATTACTTTACAAGTGCTCTTCAGTCCCAGGAAAGAGTCATATTGGAGTTGAAATGTTAACTCTGTTTTACCCTTTCCACAGATGTTGCCAAAACTGCTGAGTTTCGCAAGCACTTTCCGTCTTGATTACATGTCTCCATCATCTGCAGAACTTTGCTTTTATTCTTCATTCACTATTCAAACTAGCCCTCTCCGTCCCCCCTCACCACCCCACACCAACTCCTCATTCCTTCTCAATGGTTCTCGCTCTGAGATGGAAGGTTGAGGGATGATCCAACTGAGGTATTTACAATGATGGAGGGTTAGTGTGGACTTGATGGGATGAAGGGCCTGCTTCCACACTACAGGGATTCTTTCAAGATTGAGAGATAGATCTTTGTTAGGTGAGGGTATAAACTCCCTTTATCATTTTAAACCTGTTAGTCAGAGCATGCTCCCTAAACTGAAGAAAATACAAGTCAACATTATGTGAGTTGATTTTATACTTTTATGCCTGGTTTCATTCGGGTGAATGGCCCTAAGCTCTGGAATTCTCTCCCTAAACCTCCCCAAATCTCTTTCCTCCCTCAGGATGCTCCTTAAAATCTGCCTCTATTTTAATATCTCTTCCTCTGGTTTGGTGTTAATTTCTATTCAATAACATTTCTGGGAAGCTTGGTGGGTGGGGTGATAGCTTTGATATGTTAAAAGTAATAGATCCCAGATCACCCAGAGTGATTTTCGTAATGACAGAGAGGTTGGAAAGGTCACATGGGGTAATATGTCTTATTATCCAAGAAAACAAACAGCTGATCCCTTTACAATTGACGCAAACTCTTCAGAGTGCTTTTCAAACATCCTTAAAAACAATTACAGATTTCACAAACACTACAAATTTTTGGTAACAACATTGCTTCCAAATCAAATATCATAACAGAATAGTTCTATTTTTTAAGTGTAAAATACAAAATGAAACCCAGCTCAGTTACCTTGACATAACAACTTCGAAAATACATGGATTAAAACAGCTTGACTGGCCAAGTTTTTTTTTAATGGGTAACTTAACACATCAGCTCTCTGGAGGAAAGTCCAGGAACTGATTTAGACTGTATGGTTGAATTGAGGGAGAACGGTCGTTATTGGAAGAGCCATCTGTGGCAGAGATTCAAGCATCAGAGCTAAAGGGTGAGTCCCAACTCAGCAGTATGAGAAACGGACAAATAACTGAGAATGGCATATTATCCAGGCCTATGGAAATTTGAATGGGAATTTTTGTAAGTGACCTTTCTCACAGACATGTGAGACAATGGAGACATTGAAAGGAATTTCACACAATTTCCTTGTGGATCATGTGGTATTAGGACGTCAACTCAGACCAACTTTCATATCAATTACAGAACCAGAAGGAGGCCACTTGTCCTGATGTGGTGCTTATGTTAAGAAAATGTTTAGGATTAATGTCTCTTTGAAGAAGCTATCCAATTACACTCATTCCCCTGGTGTTTCCTCATTACTGTGCAATTCCTCTCCTGCCATTGTACAACTTCAACTCCTTCTTGAAAGTCACTGAATTTACTTCCACTAACTCTTCAAGTGGTCACTGCATAAAAGAAATTATTGCGGAATAAAAACCGAAAGAACTGCCGATGCCGCAAATCAGGAACAGAAACAGAAGTTGCTGGAAAAACTCAGCAGTTCTGGCAGCATCTGTGAAGAAAAAGATCAGAGTTAACGCTTCGGGTCTGCTGACCCTTCCTGTTCTGAGGAAGGGTCACCGGATCCGAAACATTAACTCTGGTTTTTATTTCACAGATGCTGCCAGACCTGCTGAGTTTTTCCAGCAACATCGGTTTTTATCTCTTTATTGCTTCTTTGATAGTTGTCCAATTATTTTTAATCTCTGTCCTCTGATCGTTGCCCCTATTTTGTCTGTAGGGAATCAAAAAGGGCCTCACTTCAGAGTGACTAGAGGAGTGGGGGAGGGGCAGGAAGGGAATCTGAAGATCAATAAAAACTGGGATAAAGTAATTTTACTGGGAGATCAGTGGGAGGGCATTGGAATAGTCAAGTCTACTTGTAAACAAGTATGTTTCAAAATTTCTGCAGAAGGTAAGTTGAGGTAATGGTAAAGGTGTATTCAGAACTTCTCAAGATTATTATGTCGGTGATAATTACATTAATTTACAGTTAATGGTCGGGCCCTTGGGAGTGTTGCCAAACAGAGACACCTAGGGATGCAAGTTCATGGTTCCTTTAAAATGGTGTCACAGGCAGACAGGGTGGGGAAGAAGGTAACAAGGTGTAAAGCTGGATGAACACAGCGGGCCAAGCAGCATCATAGGAGCAGGAAGGCTGACGTTTCGGGCCTAGACCCTTTGGCACATTTGGCTTCATCGGTCAGAGCATTAAGTACAGGAGGTGGGACATCATGTTTTGGGCTGTACAAGACATTGTTGAGGCCACTTTTGGAGTACTGTATACAATTCTGGTCGCTCTGCAATAGAAAAAATGTTATTAAACTGGAAAACATGCAAAAAATGTTTACAAGGATATTGCCAAGGCTGTAGGGTTTGAGTTATAAGGAGAGGATGGACATGTTGGGACTATTTTTCCATGGAGTATAGGAGGCTGAGGAGTAATCTTATAGACGTTTATAAAATCTTGAGGGACATAGATAGGTTTAATAGCCAAGACCTTTTCCCCAGGATAAGGAAGTCCAAAACTAGAGGGCATTGACTTAAGGTGAGGGGCCAGATTTAAAACAACACTTTCACACAGTGGGTGGTGCATGTATGGAATCAGCTCCCAGAGGAAGTGGTAGAGGCAAGTACAATTACAACATTTAAAAGTCATTTAAAAGGTACATGGATAGCAAAGATTTAAAGAGATATCAGCCAAATGCAGGCAAATGGGACTAGTTCAGTTTTGGAAACATGGTCGGCATGGATGAGTTTGGGCCCAAGGGTTTATTTCCATACTGTATGACTCTATGACTCATATGTTTTTCTTGTACAGGATCGGATAGCTGTCTGGTATGATCAGACCCAGAGATACTCCTCAGAATACAGAGAATTCAAAAACCAGATTCTTTCTCTGGTCGATAGCTTGGATAAGGAGAGGGAGGAGCAAAGGCACATTCTTGATTTGGCAAATTCTCGTATTGAACGTGTTGAGCGTGAGATGGACTACTTAGAGACCAAAAATCCAGCCCCAGCATGTGTGGAGGTCGAGGACAAGTTTATCGATAAAAATGGTGGAAAAGCTGAGAAAAGGAAGAAACCTAGGTTTTTCGGTAAGCAACGTTTGACAGTGAATTATAAAACAGAAGTCGCACCAAACACAAGCAATCTAGTTCTTGTATGTTCATCACCAGTTTTTGAAACACTTCTAAACAATTATAACTAACTACCAAACAGACACTGAAATCCCCTTGATATCTTCAGGAAGAAAGAACTTGCACTTATGTAGCACCTTTCACAATCAAATCTCTTTAGAGAAAGAGATAACGAGGTGTAGAGACAACAAGGTGCAGGGCTGGATGAACACAGCAGGCCAAGCAGCATCAGAGGAGCAGGAAAGCTTTAGAGCCATATTTGAATTTAATCCACTGCTGTGGTGTTATTTGCACACAATATGAAGTTGAACCAGTAATCTATGTGCATGCTTGTATATATCAAACAGAACAGGTTTCCATTCCTTTAGGGGGAAAAGAGGGATGCAATATCGCACAGATGTCAGAAAGGCACAATAACTTTAAGAGAGCTGGATGACATCACAACATGTGAAATTCTAATATGAAATCTCTAAAATACTCTCTGTACTCTCAGAAACCTAATCAAAACATATATGAACCAAGCTTTACATGAAATTCTAAGATATCGTATTAGTATATATTGTTAGTCACTTATAAACTTCAAGATATCTGTCTCAATAAGAATCCAAGCCTCCATGGCATGCACATGAACTAGCATATAGAAAACTACATAACATCAGATCCTTTGGGAAGAAGACTTGTTGATGAATAGGCCAAGAAGATAACAAGAAATCGCCTTTGTGTATTCTTTTCCCTTGCTTATTGCTCATATAAGTTGAAATTGGGAAGCTTTATGGGTAACTGATGAGGAAAATGCAGGACTGGAAGACATGCAGAAATGAGCAGAGGGCAAGATCACTACTGTTAAGCTTACAAACAAGATAGGTACAGACTCACTAAAGCCCCAAACAATATGCTAATTAAAAGAGGTCAAAGTTTATCAATGACATATTAATATGTTGAGTGTTTTCGTGGAGTGCATGTAGGTGGCATTTTAAACTAACATTAAAGTGACTAATTTATTGCCATCAAGCAACATCAAGCATTTTAAGACAGCTAGCCACTCGACACTGAGAAATTTCAATACATTTCCTTCATAAGCAAATACATAATCATTGGGTGTCTCGGATATGTGCTAAAACATATTCATCCAAAAGAATTTGACATTTTTAAGACTATGTGATGAAGAAATGGAAAGCAAACATAAGTCATTGGAAGTCTGGCAGTCAATCAGTCCAAAAAGAAAGCGACATGTACAAAGAAGCCGAAATGATGTGGAAGCATTATTAACTTTCACAGTCCCCTCGGGATGTTAATTCTTCAAAGAATCATGGTACTTGTTTCGGCAAGACCTTTAGAAATAGTGTTGGCAACTGTTTATTCATATATTATTGTACAGGTTGCCATCAAGATTATCTTGATAACCAATTTGATTCTTTCACATTTATTGAGACTACTGGGTCTGTAGTTGTCTGTTTGTCACCACCTAGATATAGAATTAACATTTCCTCATGACCTCAGGGTTTTCCAAAGCACTTTACGGCCAATGAAGAACATTTGAAGTGTAGCCATTATAGGAATTTAGATATTCGGCAGGCAACTTGTGCACAGTAAGATCGCACAATCAGCAAGCAAATCATCATAACAGCAATAATTCATATTTACATAACACCCTCGTCATGAATTGCTATCACAAGGCACTTCTTAGGACTATTATAAAGGACAAAGTATGACATAGGTTAGATGACTAAAATCTTCTTCAAGAAGATAGGCTTTTCGATGTGTCTTAAAGAAGGAACGTAAGTTGGAGTTTTGTAGAGATGGCATTCCAGAATTTATAGCCAAGGTCGCTCAAGTCATAGCTACCAGTGGTGGAGCCAATATTATTGGGAATTCACAGGAAGCCAAAAGAAGAGGAGAATGGATACCTTGGAGGGTTAAGAGCTCTCAGGCGATCAGTGACAGGTGTGGGCTAGGAGGACTTTGAAAAGTGATAGGAAAAAGTTAATATAAAGTTGTTGCTACATGGCCAATATAGGGTAGTGAGCACAGGGATGATAGGGGAGTGGGACTTGCTGCTAGCTAAGATGCCAGCACCAAAGCTTTGGATGATCTCACGTCTGTGGAGAGTAGTCTGGGAGATCAGGGAGAAGTGCTTCAGAATATTCAAATATAGATGTAACAAAGGCATGAATGAGGGTTTCAGCAAGAAATGAGCTGAAATGGGTGCAAAGTGGTGTGATATTGAGGTAGAACTAGGTAATCATAGTGATAGCACAATATTAGAAATCATCTCAGGATTAAGTATGACAACGAGCAATAGGGAGAGGCTGAATAGACTGGGGGTTATTTTAGCTGGAGCATCGAAGGCTGAGGGGTGACCTTACTGAGGTTTATAAAATCATGAGGGGCAACGGTAGGGTAAACAGACAAGGTCTTTTCCTCAAGGTGGGGAACTCCAAAACTAGAGGGCATAGTTTTAATGTGAGAGGGGAAAGATTTAAAAGGGATCCATGGGGCAACTTTTTCATGCAGAGGGTGGTGCGTGTATGGAATGAGCTGCCAGGGAAGTGGTTAAGGCTGGTACAGTTACAACATTTAAAAGGCTTCTGGATGAGTATATGAGGAGGAAGGGTTTAGAGGGATATGGGCCAAATGCTGGCAAATGGGCCTAGATTCATTTAGGATATCTGGTCAGCATGGTCGAGTTGGACCAAAGGGTCTGTTTCCATGCTGTACAGCTCTATGACTCTATGACCAAGATGAAAAACAGACTGGCTTAATCTTAACAAGGTGTAGAGCTGGATGAACACAGCAGGCCAAGCAGCATCAGAGGAGCAGGAAGGCTGACGTTTCAGGCCTAGACCCTTCTTCTCCAACATCTGCAGTTCCTACTATCTCTGGCTTAATCTTAACGTGCGGTCCAGCAGGGTGATGGAGGCAGGATCTAAGGAACAAAATCTGGAGTCAAGACAGAAACAATAGCTCCGGTCTTGGGAAGACTAAACTGAATGTTGGATAAGCAGTGTAACAAGCAGTTGGCAAGAGGGGTAGGCTGCAGGGAGGGCAGAAAGGGAGATCGCAACGTGGAGAGAGAGAGGCTGAAAGGATGTGAGAGAGGAAGGCAGAAAGATGGGGAGGGGAAAGATGTAAAGTGGAAAGAACAGTTTTAAACCTATTGGCAAAAAAATATTCAACTAACCAAGAGCCAGAAAAGCTTAAAATCACTGAGGTAATAAATTCCTTGCAAATACATGTACAGTCTGTCGATTAACACTGCATATGATTAAGAGCTCCTATCTGGGAGAAAACATAATGGCTGTTGTAATAAACATTATGTTAATTTAAATCTGAGATTGAGCTCTGAGATGCATTAGAAAGGGTGTTACCTGCATTTTCAAAATCTCCTAGCTTTGTGCTTATGTGATGGCGTTAACAGTGACCTTACCAGTCTATGAAAGGTTTATTTAGGACGATGAAGTGTGTCAGTTATTTTGAAAACTACAATCTTCATTGCTAGGTTATGCCTGTTGACTTCAGTCAGTTTAAATACTGTGATATCTAAGAAATTAATGTTTTCTTGTATTTTGAGCCTTTATGTTTAATAGAAAGTTGATCATTTTTTAAAGATATTGATGGATTCTTCTAATTCTACTTCTGTGTAAGTCCCAATACCCATATGCCAACACAAATACGGAAGATATTGTTATTACAGGACTGCATCACTTAGTAAATTAATTAGTGAGAATGATAACGGAGCCTCTGAAAATAAAAATTAGCCCCAAAAATCAGAAAGTGGTCCTTGGGAAAATCTCAAGGAAGTTCCCAAAAAAAAATTTTGTGTCCTAGTATGATGACAACTTTTATGTTCGCTTAAGATAGTGGGCAGAGTCTCTATTTAACGTTTCAACTGTCTCCACTAGAAGAGAGAACCTCCAAAAATGCACTGTCCCTTCAGTATTCCACTTGAAGTGTCTATCTAGATTACAGGGTCAAATCTCTGGAATTTGAGTTCACAATTTATAATGTCAGAGGCTACTCAATTGGCAGATTGGTTGGAATGAAATTGACCAGTGCCTGGGGTGTGAAAGGAAATCATAGCAGGAATAGATGATTTGGCCTCTCAAGCCTGCTCCACCATTTCATAACATCATGGCTGATTTGGTTATGGGCTTTCCTTCTTTCTATCCCATTCAACTAATCCTTCACTTCCCCACAGTTCAACAGTCCAGCTCAGCACATTTAATTACCTTGTCTCCACGCCTATCTGTGGAAGAAAGCTCCAAAAATTAAGCCTCTGAGGGAATAAATTCCTCTTTATGTCGGTCATAAATAGGATACCCCTTTATCTTAAACTGTGTTTCTTAGATCTAGATTCACTCAAAAGGAAAAACATCTTCCCAGGATCCACCCTGTCAAGCCCGGTTGGAATCTTACATGTTTCAATATCATCTTCTCTTATTTATCTAATTTCAGTTGGGTATAGACTCAATCTGTTCGAACTCTTCATCTCATAAATCAAATGAATTAACTTATTCCAAACTGCATCCAAAAGAATTAGATCCTTTCTTACATCATAAAAGCAAAACTATATGCAGTATTCTAGGTGCAGTCTCCCCAATGCACTTAGCAGTTGCAGCAAAACTTCCCTATATCTATATTCCATCCCAGCAATAAAGACCAATATTCCATTTGTCTTCCTGATTACTTACAGTGCCTACATGCTAATTTCTTGTGATTCATGTACAAAAACTCCTAGACCTCTCTGTACCATAGCATTCTGTAGTCTATCTCCATTTAAATAATATTCTTTCTATTCTCACCAAAGTTATCAATCCAAATTTTCCCACATTCTACTGTATTGACAAATGCTTTGTCCATTCAGGTAACTGATTTATATCCCTTTGTAGACTGTTTATGTTTTTCTCACAATGTATGTTCCTATCTAACTTGGTATCATCAACAAATTTAGATAAAATATTCTCAGTCCTTTTACCCAATTCATGTATTTGGATTGTAAATAGTTGGAGTTCCAACACTGCTCCCCGTGGTATCCCAATAGTTACATTTTCCTAACTGAAAATGAACTCTGTTTCCTTTTAGGGAGCCAATCCTCTATGTATGCAAATATATTACCCCACAACATTATAATATCTGAACTTGTGCGGTAACCATCCATGTGACCCCTCAACCAAATACGCCACAGCTACTGGCTCTCCCTTACCCACCCTCAAAAACTCTAATAAATTAGCCAAACATAACATCACACCTAATTATATTTTATCCTGGTGAAAATTTGTAGTTGGGGTTGTTGATGTAGTTCTTCGTTGTCTCACCAACCCAGTTGTCCTGTGCTGTGCAGACGTTTTGTTACCGTTCTAGGCAACATCATCAGTACAACCTCTAATCGAAGCGTTGGTGTACTGCCTCCTTTTGGATTTATATGATCCTCTGGTTTGATGGTCTTGTCGCTCCTGGAAATGTTGTTTTAGCAGCGGTCTGTATACGGGGTCTATTTCTATGTGTTTGTTAATGGAACAAACAAACATCAGATGTGCAAGGGAATTTCTGAAAGCCTGGGTCTCAAAACGGGACTCCATTAACAAACACATAAAAATAGACCCCGTATACAGACCGCTGCTAAAACAACAGAACCAGAAGTGACAAGACCATCACCAGAGGATCGTATAAATCCGAAAGGAAGCATAACACCAACACTTCGATTAAAGGTTGCACTGGTGATGTTGCCTAGAGTGATAATGAAAAGTCCGCACATCACAAAACAACTGGCTGGGCAAGCTAACAAACTACTATATTTTATCCATTGAAATTAATGGAGGGAATCTGTTTCTTCTTTCTCTGTTAGATTTCCAGTAAGATGTTTGTCATCCTTTTGATTTTTTGGCTTTTTTGTTTCCTTTCCAGATTGCACGGAAATGATCAGCAGCATTAAAGCAATGAAAATCGTTAAGAAGCTGGAGACGGCTTCTGGGCTGTGGACCAGAGACCTGATGTCTGACTCTGGGAAAGTCTATGTATTTGACGGTATAGCCAACGACACGATATATGAATTTGCCAGATTACGGGACCTGACTGACTTCTCTGGTTTCATGAAAGCAAAGAAAATCAAACTGCCTTACCCATGGGCTGGCACAGGTCACTTGGTGTACAAAGGCTACTTGTATTACATTAGAAATGAGCCCGAGTTCCAACTGATCAAATTTGACCTGAAAAACCGAACAGTGACAGACAGCACCATGTTCCCTGCCGAGCAGCAGATCCCAGTCTATGGCCTATCACCGTTCAATTACATTGATCTAGCCGCAGATGAACATGATTTGTGGGCTATATATGCCACCTTAGAAAACGAGAAGCACATCTGCCTCGCCAGGTTGAACCCTAAGACGCTGGATATCGAGCAAATGTGGGATACTCCATGTCCTATAGAGAATGCTGAGAATGCCTTTGTCATCTGTGGTACGCTCTACGTGGTTTATAACAGTAAGCTCCGCAGTCGATCACGGATCCAGTGTGTTTACGATGTCAATGGCATCGTGACCAATGACGTAGCGCCTTTGGTGTACTTCCCCAAACGGTATGGGATGCATTCCAGCATAAAATACAGTCCAAGAGAGAATTATCTCTATGCTTGGGACGATGGATACCAAATAATATATAGGCTGGCAATGAAGCCGAAATCGGAACTGTAAATCTTGTGTCTAACTGCATGTCATTACTAGGATCAGGAGCCTGAGAAAAACCCCATAACAAAGAGGAACCAAAGTAAGATGAAGCAAAATGACAATGTTTTAAGTTGAGTGATTCATTAATTTCCCAAGGCTCCATTAAAGGGTTCAGCACCATGAAAATAGAATCAAATATATCATTAATTGAGAGATTAACAGTACATTAACATGCTTGGTGATGCGTTACACATAATTGTGACTTAGACAGCTGCAGTCAAATTGAGGAGTTAGTCAAAAGGGATGTGTATGGGCCAATTAAAACAACCACATCAAACACACTCACTTGAAACTTTGTACCGCCATTAAAAAGAATTATGCAACTCCATGCAAATGTGTTGACGCATTCAGATGCTAAAAAGAGTCCCTGATAAAAGCACTTGCACTTATATGGCTACTTTTACAGCATCCCAAATGGTTTCATTCCCGATAAAGTAGTTCTGAAGTGTGGTCACTGTTGTAAGAAATATAGGTGACGGCTTTTGTACCGGCAACAGTCACAAACAGCAAAAAATTAATGAAGAGTTCACCTGTTTTAGGAGCTAGCTAATGGATAAATATTGGCCAGAACACTGGGCAGCACTGTCACACTCTTCTTGGAAGCGCGGGGCTGGGTTTTCCAGAGACAAGCCCAACTGAACCTCACCGCCACAATCCCCCCGACCTTGGTAAAAGGCAGCATCAGATCAGCCATCCACATCACCAGTACTCTTTAGGCTTGTTAAAAACCTAACGCATTGCGATGTTTCACGGCCCACTCTATTTTACAGGAGGTGTACAGGAAAGTCATTAGGAGTGTGTTAAGCCAGATATGTGGGAATGGCACCTCGACTCATGAGAATGAATCCATGGATGGAGTTTGCGGTAAAGTCCATTGCTTATGGTGACAGCATTTGGCTGTCAATAATGCTGAGGTGCTCGGATTCTGCAGGCTGACAGAACAATTAGGGAGAGAGTGAGAGGCCTCAAGGCCCAGTAAGCTGGAATTTGGTCCATGGCCGATTCCCTCTCTCACCAGATGTCCCAGCTTAGATGTTCGATTAACCACAGTGCCCTCCCCTCCACTACGTCCCAATTGGTCCTCAACCCCATTGGCTAGCCACAATTTGTTTGGATAACCATTGATTCAATGTGATATAACAGTAGGGGTGGGAGAGAGTTGAAGTGGCTAGGAAGAGGAGGCTAGCAGAAGTGATAGGGCCATGCATTTCCTGCCAACTCTGTTATTGCAGCCCAGGGTGTGAGATTATTTATATCTGCCTGAGAGAGCAAAAGGGCTTCCCCTATATCTTATCCAAAAACAGAACCACTTGCAGTGCAGCACTCCTGCAGTACCATCATTGACTGTTTCGGCCACTGTCATCGATTTGATATTTGTCTCAGACATTACTGCTGATTGGGCATTTGTTCAAGATACTGTCATTGACTAATCGCTTCTCAACACAGTAGCTTATGTGTTGGGTTAGGTATCCCTTAATGTTGGCATACTTGGTAGCCATGGGTAGGGTACATGACATTGTGGTAGGTGACTTGTTATTGTTAGGACTCATTCAGAAACTAGTTTTTCATTGTTTCCACATTCAAGGATCCAATATGGGGTTAAAAAGCAATACTATTGAGGTTAAGAACAGGGTTTGTCACAATTGTGTAAATAATAAAGCAATGGATATGCTTTATCCATGGTATGACTCTGGGCTTACTCCTAATTTCAAGTCACTTGTTTTGCAAATAATACCTTGACACAGCAATTACCATTGATACCATGGCACAAATTTGTTAAAATTTCAATAACCGAAAAGTAAATTCATTGAGAAATCAGTCCCTATTGAAACTGGCTCCATGATGTTGTAATCTCAACTATTTTTACACCTATAGCATTCTTGTACTGTCTTACAGCTGATCCAGTTATCCTATATGTAACCACAATGTATATTTTTTATAATTGTAACGATCTGCATTAATAATAACCACTCACTGTGAGAGTGGGTGATATAAGTGATTGCATTCCATTCCATTAACAAACTGAGGATGAAAATCTTCCTGAAAGTTGTAAGTTCATAGAATCATAGAACTGCTGAAGCACTAATAAAAGTTATTTCATCCGTCCACTGAGCCAGCCTCAGTTTTCAAAAGCACGATCTCATTTATCCCAAAATGAAACTATTTTCTCTTTCACGCATGCATCCGAATCCCGTTTGAAAGTTATTATTGAATCTTCCACCACCCTTGCAAGGAATGCATTCTAGAACATAACCACATGTTACACAAAAGAATTTCTCATCTCCAGTCCCATTCTTTTTGTCAATTATCTCAATCTGTCTCCTCTAGTTACCAACTCTCTAGTTTGAGGAAACAGGTCCTTACCTAATCTATCAACCCTTTACAATCTAGGAAATGTCTATTTGCTCTTTCTTTGATCTTCTATGGTCTAGGGACAACAACGCCAGCTTCTCTAAGCTCTCCATATACCTAACCTCCCACATCCCTAAAGTCTGCAACCAACATGAGATTCGCCAATATTAGTCCACATTCTAATCAACATGGATGCACAATACAATTCTCATACGAAGAGGCATATTACATTTTCAACCACAACCGCAAGATCTTTTTTCAGAATCACTGGTGGGGAGTAGAGGATGAAGACGTATGTATGTGGTGGTGAATTTGCAGCCCATTTTAAATTTTTCTTGCTGCTATCATTTATCAAGTGGGCTCACAAACATCAGGCCAACGCACAAGAATGTCTTTGACTAATCAAAACATTTCACACGTGGACTATATTATTTGATCAGCCTTTTTCTTCTATCTCACATCAGATAATGGTATAGCTGTCTCACTATGGCAATGGACCAGTGTTTAGCTCAGCATAGTGGCTCAGTGGTTAGCACTGTTACCTCACAGTACTAGGAACCCAGGTTCAATCCCAGCCTTGGGTGACTGTCTGTGTAGAGTTTGCATATTCTCCCTGTGTCTGTGTGGGTTTCCTCCCATGGTCCAAAGATGAGCAGATTAGGTTGATTGGCCATGGTACATTGCCCATCATGTCCAGGGATGTGTAAATTATGTGGATTAGCCATGGGAAATGCAGGGATGGGGTGAGTCTGGGTGGGATACTCTTTAGAGAGTCAGTGTGGATTTGTTGGGCTAAATGGCTTTTTTCCACACTGTAGGGATTCTATGGTTAAATCCACCTACCTGAGGAATATTCTATATTTTTCTGTGTGTATCATGGACTTAGTCCTAAACTTCCATTGCTTTTTTTCTGGATAAAGAAGGAGATAGAGAGTAAAGATGAAGCAAACAAATGGTTCAGATAGTGGTTTATGTGCTGCCAAGTATGTAAAACAACACTTTTCACTGTACCTCAGTACACATGATAATAAGAAATCAAATCAAATCAAATCAGACGGGTGCCAGGTTGACAAATACAAGTGAGGACCAGGCTGAATATACAAAAATGGAATTGAAAAGAAAGAAACAAAAGCAGCTAAAAAGACACTGAAATGGCTGACATTAACATAAAAGGAATCCGAAAGTCTTCTGTAGATGTGTAAATGATAAAAAGGTGGGAAAAGAAATAACAGGGCCAATTAGAACTGAAAAGAAGCTTTGGAGGATGGGAACAAGTCTGAAGGAGGACAACCTTCTTTGCTGTGGAAGGAAATACTGCCAATGTTTTCATGAAAGAGGAGGTCATTAAGACCCTGGATGGACTAAATATTGATAAGGAATGAATATGAGGAAGGATGGAAAGTTGACACATCACCAGAATCAGATGAGTTACAGCCAAGAATACTGATAAAAGCAAGGTTGAAAAAAAAACACTAGCCATAATCTTCCAAACTTCCTTAGCTACAGGTGTGGGGCCAGAGGACTGGTAAATTGTACGCTACACCCTGGTCAAACAAGGATAAATCCAGCAAGTATAGGCCAATCAGTTTAAACTTGGGGGTTGGAAAACTATTGAAAGCAATGATCTGGGACAAAATTAATAGTCACTTAATCAAATGTGGATTAATTAAGAAAAATAAAAAGATATGCTCATGGCAAATTATGCTTAACTAATCAGATTGAAGTTTTTGATGAAGTAGCAGTAGGTTGATAAGGGTAATGCAGTTGATGCATTGAATATGGACTTCCAAAGAACATCTTATAAAGTGCTACATAACAAGGTTTGTCAACAAAGTAAAAGCCCTTGAAATAAAAAGATCAGTGGCAACATTGGCTCAGAGGTGGCAAACAGAGAGTGCTGGTGAATTGTTGATTTTTAAACTGCAATAAGGTATACCGTGGGGTTTTCCAGGAATATAATTTAGCTCCACTGTTTCTTTCCTTGATCTGTGTTAAGGACCTAGATGTGGTGTGGGGAACGCATACTCAAAATTTGCAAATGACACAGAACTCAGAAAGGTTGTAAACTGTCAGGAGATTAGTGATGGGCTTCAAGAGGGCGTCAAGAAGCTGGTGGAATGGGAGGACATCTGAGAGACAAGGGGTGGCAATGGCCTAGTGATATTATCACTGGACTATTAATCCAGAGCCCCAGCTAATGGTCTAGGGATCTGGTCCGAATGCTGGCACAGCAGATGGTGGAATTTGAATTTTTTTTTAAAAAAAAGCCTGGAATCAAGAGTCCAATGATGGCTATGAATCCATTGTTGATTGTTGGAAAAACCCATCTGACTCAGTAATGTACAATAGAGTAGGAAACTGCTACTGTTACTTGGTCTGGCCTACATGTGATTCCAGACCCACAGCGATGTGGTTGACTCTTAAGTACCCCCTGGGATGGGGAATAAATGCTGGGCAAGCCAATGATACCCTCATCCTGTGAATGAATATTTTAGAAAAATTATGGCAGAGAATATGGAGTTGGGAGAATGAGGAGAGGGGATATATAATAAAGCATACAATTCTAAACACAGCGCAACAGCAGAAAGACCAGGGAGAAATGTGCTCAAAACATTGAAGGTGGCAAGGAGATTAAGGACGTAGACAAAAAGGGACACAGGGCCCTTATATATAGAGATGCACAGTACAAAAGCAATGTCTGCTGAACTTTCAGAAATGTTGTTTTGGCCTCACCTAGAATTTTGTGTCCAGTTCTGGGCGCAACACATCAATCAAGAAAGATCTAAAGGGATTGAAAGATTACAGAAAATGTGTAGGAGAATGTTCCAGGAAATAAAGACTTCAATTATGAGGATCGATTGGCAAAGCTAGGGCTGAGGAGAGAAGGTTTAGAAATTTAATAGAGTCAAAACCATGAGAGGCATGGAGAGCCTGAAAGAGAACGAGAGAGAGAAGTTGTCCCCATTAGCATAATGA